AGAGAGATACTCTAGCAAAAGCCTTCCCTTTTAGGCTCTTAAAGGGATACAGACACAGACCCTGCTGAGTAATTCCTATCATTGCTTCATCCACTTTATGTTACATTACATCATTACATAAGCTGTTTAGCTATTAAATTATTACCTTGACAAAAAGTAAAATATTTTTTTAATTAGTTTGAATAATTAAATGGAATTGCTGAATTGTCTTGCGCCAAGTTGCCCCATGGTGAGTTGGCCATGGCGAGTTGTCCTGTGGTGAACTAGCCATGATGAATTGGCTGTGGCGAATTGTCCCATTCTGTCTCTATCTGATCACCTGCCAAGTTCCTGTCAAAATCAAAACCAACATGGTTCACATTGGGCATTCATGGAATGCTGGCCTAAAGTCTCACAGATGTCTGGTGCTAGCAAGTGATGAAGCTGCTTAATTTTCTGAATATATGAATAGGCATTAACACAAGTGGCAATGTAATATCTACTTTTCATGAGACCTAAGAAGTGGTGGGATTCAGCCAGTTTGCACCACTTCAGTAGAACCTGTAGCTAATTTTTTGTTGCCCAGGCCCAGAATGGACTTCCAGAAGCGGCATTCACACAGAGAACCGGTTGTTCACATATTTGAATCCCACCACTGGACCTAAGGGTGTGTCCTGCTATATTTCCTTCTGCATTGTCCACATGCCGCATAAATGATTTAATTTTTGTTTTTTTCTAATGACTACTCTGGTAAGATACATTAAATCAGTTTAAACGGACCAGAAAAATATTGTTTTATGCTTGCAGTTGCCAATCTTAATTGCTAGAGATATTGAAAAATAACTTTTTTTGTACTGGGATCCTTGGTCAGCATTTTTGTTTTTTTTAAAAAAATATTTCTAAAATGCTTTTCTTAAACAGAACATGTTTTTGGCCATCATCAACGACACATATTCAGAAGTCAAAACTGATATGATACAGCAGAAGTCGGAAATGGAACTTTCAGATCTTATTAAAAAGGTAATCGAGAACTCACAGTCTCCCGGTGACTGGCTCCAGACCACGCAACTGGCTTTCAGGGTTGAGGCGGGACTTGAACTCATTAGGGTTTAGAGTGTTGACTCTATTAAAATCAGGGCTTATGATGCCTGGTTCCATCACAAAATAGTTTATTTAGTTGTTTTGTTCTGTTGTAACAAATTGTTTATAATTCCATTTTTGACCGGACTGGAGTAACCCCCTGATCAAGATAATGGGTCTAAGAAATTTAAATAACAGAATAAGATGATAAATGAGTTGTTTCCATCTAGTAGTGGGAGGTTGGGGAGGAAAATATCATTTCATTTAAATATTTTAAAATGAAAGAGACTAGACGATCTTCCTGATACAATCTATTGCTATCAGAACCTCAGCTGACAATCAGCTAACATACCTGTATATAACAGAATCTGTGCATGATTTATAACTGTTTTCCAAACTTGTCAACCTTAAGATGTGTGGACTTCAACTCCCAGAATTCCCCAGCTGACTAGGGGATTCTTTGTGCTCAAATCTACATATCTTAAAGTTCCCAAGGTTGAAAAACATTGATATAGAAGTTTTAAGGATAATCAGTAAATCAATTATTTTAACAAGTACTTCTAAATCAGCCAAATAGATATTACGAGAAGAGCAACAAAGATGATTAGGGGACTGGAGGCTAAAACATATAAGGAACAGTTGCTGGAATTGGGTATGTCTAGTTTAATGAAGAGAAGGACGAGAGGGGACATGATAGCAGTGTTCCAATACCTCAGGGGCTGCCACAAAGAAGAGGGAGTCAAGCTATTTTCCAAAGTGCCTGAAGGCAGGACAAGGAGCAACGGGTGGAAACTGATCAAGGAGAGAAGCAACTTAGAACTAAGGAGAAACTTCCTGACAGTTAGAACAATTAACCAATGGAACAACCTGCCTCCAGAAGCAGTGAATGCTCCAACACTGGAAGTTTTTAAGAAGAGACTGGACAGCCATTTGTCTGAAATGGTGTAGGGTTCCTGCCTGAGCAGGGGGTTGGACTCGATGACCTCCAAGGTCCCTTCCAACTTTAGTATTATTATTATTATTATTATTATTATTATTATTATTATTATTACTATTACTATTACTATTACTATGCAGGTCTGCAATTGGTAAGCCATTAGCTTCCATTGGGAACTTCAAGGCGCTTCATTGCATTGCTTGCCTAACAGTTGTATCCACATAAGGAATATATTGCTCTCCTTTTTCAGGGATACACCAAAGCCATGGTGAAATTAAAATTGAAAAAAACACCAGTCGATGACATTTCAGAGAGTCTGCGCCAATGTGGAGGCAAATTAAATTTTGATGAACTGCGGCAAAACCTAAAGGGGTAACTTTGCACCGTTTTTTTTCTTTTGTACAGAGATTAAATAACAAATAAATGATCACACAGTTCCTTTCAGAAGTAGCGCTGTTTTCCGCAGCTCAACAATGGAGTAAAGAAATAGTAAGCCAAGGGATTAGATAAGAAAAAAGAAAGGAAAGGAAATTAAATATAGTTTACCACGCAACCGTTTGCAATTTCTCTCCATATCTTTCTGGCCTTGCAAACTAGTCTTCTTTGTATCATATCCATTGCCTTTTGTTCCTTTAATTTCTCACATCTCATTTTCAGATTCTCATCAATTCTGTCAAATCATGGTTTCTTTGGTCTTTTCCTTCCTGTCAGCATATTCACCTCCCTTTATGTTGGTGAATGGATCCTTATTTACTCCTGGTTTACTCTTTCTGTAAGTCAGACTATCTCAATGAATTTCTTTGTATCATCTCCATATGAAAATACCTGTCCATTCTTCTAATCACAAGCATTTCTTATAGGTATCCAGAAAACATATTTTACTTCCATCATATAGCACTCTTATCTCAATAAACTGAGTTACAAGAAAGTGTCTGTCTCCTCGTATATTTACTGGCTTAAAGTAAAGATATGATTACTTCACAATAGTTCTTTTTTCAAGGCATGCTTTTTATACAGGGTAACACTTCTGGTTGCATTTAGTGACCCTGCTAATTATATGACAGTTCTCCAAAACAATAATATAATTAAGTTGCTGAATACAGAATGACTCTGTGAAGGCCCCTTATTTATTGCTCGCACCAGAAAATAATTTTTAACCTAAAATATTTAAAGCAATCATATTTAAAAACCTAGCCTTTACTTCCAGAAAGGGACGTACTGATGCTGAGATTGAAGCCATCTTTACAAAGTATGACCAAGATGGAGATCAAGAATTGACTGAGTTGGAGCATCAGCAAATGAGAGATGATTTAGAGAAAGAGAGGGTGAGCTTTATATTGGATGGTGTGGTCGCATCCTTGAAAAATGGGGGAGGTTATTTGTTAGCCTGCACTGCTATTGTACCAGAAAGAAATCTTTATGGCTATGAATGCAGTAAAGAATTCTGGAATTCCATTTCTTGGGAAATTTGCTTTTTGATTTCAGAGAAACACTTTTACCTACTTCTGTTTACTAACTTTGTACAATCTCATTGCTGGTGAAGATCTCTGGCTGCTGAGTGTTGACTGATGAGGCAACAAAATAGCGTACAGGTAGTCCTCGACTTATGAACACAGTTGAGCCCAAAGTTTCTGTTGTTAAGTGAGACATTTGTTAAGTCAGTTTTGCCCCATTTTACGACCTTGCTTGCCACAACTGTGAATCACTACAGTTGATAAGTTAGTAACCTGGTGGCTAAGTGAAACTGGCTTCCCCATTGACTTTGCTTGTCAGAAGATTGCAAAAGGTGATCCCTTGGGACACAGCAACAGCCATTAAGTATAAACCGGTTGCCAAGCATCTGAATTTTGACCGCATGGTCATGGGGATGCTTCAAAGGTCGTAACAAAAACGGTCGTAAGTCACTTTTTTCAGTGCCGTTGTAACTTTGAACAGTCACTAAATGAACTGTTGTAAGTTGAGGACTAACGGTATTGGTTTTGGATAGGAAATGTTTTGCTCATCCTGAATTGCAGTAGGTTGGGTTGGGCAATCTACTATTTACCTTGAAAGAACCACAAAAATATTCTCAGTGGGTCAAGCAGGTTTCCATTGCCTGCGAATAGGACACACTGATTGTAGGAGTAAGAAAGAGTCAAATTCTAACAGTTGTGTTTGTTTTCACTAAGGAGGACTTAGAGCTAGACAGAAGTTCTCTAAACCGTCCACTCAGTGGCCGTAGCTTTCCACGAAGCCTTGATGATTCGGAAGAGGACGATGACGACGATAGTGGACACAGCTCCAGAAGAAGAGGCAGCAGCTCAAGTGGCGTTTCATATGAAGAGTTCCAAGTGTTCGTGTTACAGTTTTTTTCCTGTCAAATCTCAAATCTTTATTAATTCTAAAAGTACAGAATTATGTCAAGAACTCATGATACCTAACTCTCTTTCCACACAAATCTGATTTCCAATTGCACCTGGCTGAAAGCAGCTCTCCAGAATAGATCAGAGGCTATTTCAGACTTTCTTATCCAAGAGCCCACTAGACTCATGGACATGGATGTTCCTAACGAAAGTCGTAGATGAAATATTATTTTCTCATGAATGAAGGCGAATATACGCGTCCCAGGATAATGCGGCAGGATCCAATCTGGGTCAGTCACCGGAACCAAAGTTTTTGTCTTCCGAGCTTCCGGATTCATAACGGGAACCCATCCTTAGGGAACTTCTCTCTAGCAGAGTGTGTGCTTTGGGCTGTTCTTTGTGTGGGATTTACAACAGACACTCTATAAATACCACACACAATAATCCAAACCACATACTCTACTAGAGAGAAATTCCCTGAGGGTGGGCAAAAACACTGGTTCCGCTGACTGACCCAGATTGGATCCTGAAAGATTATTTTAACTGTTATTCTAAACCAGTGGTTCTCAACCTGTGGGTCGGGACCCCATTTGGGGTCGATCGACCATTTCACGGGGGTCGCCAAGCAAGGCTGTCCGCCATTTTTTTCCCTTTTCCGGCGGGTGCCTTACCTCCCTTGGGCTGGGCCAGCTGGTGGTCGGCCTGCTCCGTCTCTGCCGCTTGCCAGCTACGCCTCGGCCGGCACAGGGGGCGGAACCACGCATGTGCGGCGCTCCCAGGCAGGGAAAGTCCTCGACTTACAACCGGTTGGGTAGTCCTCGACTTACGACCGGTTTAGTCCTCGACTTACGACCAATTGGGGTCGCGGCATTAAAAAGGTTGAGAACCACTGTTCTAAACCATCTTTGGGACAGAGATTTGAAAGAGAATGTGTTGTCCATGCTGTTCTTCAAATCCTAACTGTACCCAAATGCATTTTCCGTTCAGCTTGGTCCGTCGAGTGGATCGCATGGAACATTCCATAGGCAGCATTGTATCTAAGATTGATGCTGTCATAGTCAAGCTGGAAACTATGGAGAGAGTTAAACTGAAGAGGAAAGAGGTGCTGGGCAGACTACTCGATGGAGTTGCAGAGGTAAATTTACTTAACGCTGGCAAAACATTCAGTATTTATTTTGCAAACGTCGCTATTTTGTATTTCATTTCTTCAGATGAAAGGATGTTGCTACTGGATTGTGTACCACATAGTCACGGTCAACTCTTAGAGAGCACGCGGGTAGATTTTCGTCACGATAATCTGTCTCTAAACTGAGCTTTCAGTTCTTCCAGTGGGGCACCATCCCCATTGTAAATGAATCCATAGATTTCACAAAAATCAATTAATAATAATAATAATAACAACAACAACAACAACAAGAGTTGGAAGAGACCTTGGAGGTCTTCTAGTCCAACCTCCTACTCAGGCAGGAAACCCTATACCAGGGGTAGGCAACCTTGGCTCTTTTATGACTCGTGGACTTCAACTCCCAGAATTCCTGAGCCAGTCATGCTGAGGGGAAAGGGAGAGGTTTCCAAGCTGGGCCATGCTGGCTCAGGAATTCTGGGAGTTGAAGTCCACGAGTCATAAAAGAGACAAGGTTGCCTACCTCTGGCCTATATCATCTCAGACAAATGGCTGTCCAGTCTCTTCTTGAAAACTTCCAGTGTTGGAGCATTCACAACTTGTGGAGGCAGGTTGTTCCACTGACTGATTGTTCTAACGGTCAGGAATTAAAAGCAGGGTATTTTATCAGAATTATACCATTCTGGCTACAGATAGTCCTCGACTTACAACCATTCGTTTACCGACCGAAGTTAAAATGGCACTGAAAAAAGTGACTTAGAATTGATCCTCACATAACTGTTATAGCATCCCCAAGTCAAATGATCAAAATTTGGGCACTTGATTTGTTGTTAGTTGCGAAGTCGTGTCCGACCCATCGCGACTCCATGAACAACGTTCCTCCAGGCCTTCCTGTCCTCTACCATCTTCTGGAGTCCATTTAAGCTCACGCCTACTGCTTCAGGGACTCCATCCAGCCACCTCCTTCTCTGTCGTCCCCTTCTTCTCTTGCCCTCCATCTTTCCCAGCATTAGGCTCTTCTCCAGTGAGTCCTTCCTTCTCATTAGGTGGCCAAAGTACTTGAGTTTCAACTTCAGGACCTGGCCTTCTAAAGCAGGGCTTTTCAACCAGTGGTACAGGTATCACCTGTGGTACATTGGCACCTGGCAGGTGGTACGCGAGCATCCTAGAAAAGTGGTAGTGGGGGAGGGGAATGAGCTGAACCGGTGGCAGCACCGCACAAGCCTGAGCGAGAGATGGCTGGAGCTGCAGGGCTGTCAGGGCTCAGCGGAAGCGCCAGGCTCCAACTGGAGCTCGGTGCTGATCCTGGCGCTTCTGAGCCCAGAAGAAGCGCCGATCAGCTGGAATGTTGCAGCATCTCCAGGGTCTTGTGATTTACATTCCGATGCTTGGCAACTGATTCATATTTATGACGTTCACAGTGTCCCAGGGTCATGTAAAGTGACCAAAACCTGCTGCAACCACCCAGCAGACGGGGGGAATAAAAACCAAACACCCCCCCCACCCCACTCTCACTGCCAATCCTCAACAGAAATGCTCACAACAATGAAAACCTCGGACAGGAGGAAGAGCGCCGCCGGGCGGGCCGGCAGGTGTCTTGCTTGGCTGTGGCTTGGGGGGCACTTTTTTCAATGCTATTGTAACTTCAAACAGTCACTAAGCAAGCTGTTGTAAGTCGAGGACTACCTGTACTTTATCACTTTTTTCCCTTTTTTTTTTGGGTCATCAGGTTTTTGACACCTTGCTAGGCGACTGGTGGTATTTGGATGTTGCCATATCCTAAAAGTGGTACAATGGGTGAAAAGGTTGAAAAGCCCTGATTTAAATTATTAAAAATAATTTTAAAATGCGTTTATACCTTTGCACTAAAAGAGAGTTTTAGCAATTTGAGCACGATCAGAGATTGTGGTATTTCTGCTTAGGATGAAAGGCTGGGTTGTGACAATGACGCGCGCAGAGATCAGATGGAGAGACTGGTACGAGAAGAACTGGAACACTGGGAATCGGATGATGCTGCATCCCAAGTAAGCCATCGAATGGGAACCCCGGTGGGATTCAACAGCCACGGACGGACCAGGAATCCCCGCCCTTCTTCCTCACAGTCCACAGAAGGCATTGATGGAGGAGGAGGAGGAGGAGGAGGAGGAGGAGGAGGCAATAGAGGGAGCAACATCCACGTCTAGTAGCATTTGTATTTGCTGAAACTCTTTTCCACAAATCATGAGTTAACTAAAGGACAAGATGCCTTGGGACAGGGCTGTGATTTTATAGGGTAAGATATAGGAAACTATCATGTTGTGATCTGGTCTGGCTTTTAAAAACCAGAGCTTCTTGTTTAAATGCCCTTGGTTTCCTTTCCAACTGCTTTCATTAAAAAGGGGCACACTTCTCGACCTGCTAGGAGAAAACAGGGAAGCTGGTAAATTTATTTTCCAGTTCTAGAACTTAAGGTGAGAGTGCTTTGCACATTTACCTGGCAGTAAGACATATTGGAACCTGAGACATACTTCCTAAAAAAAAAGGTACATAAATTACAATAAAAGTAGCTGTTTCATATGGAGTAATCAAGTCTATATGATTTTCTCTTCCCTTTTTTAATTGAAACAGGCAGTCTGTAATACATTCTCCGCAACATAATACATACCGAAGTGATATCAGTGTTTGGCTGCATGAATTAGCTTATCACCATTTCAGTATGATAAGATTTGTCTTTTAATCTTTAGGATTTCAGCTTACCGAAAAGGAATTCCTATTCTGTCAAAGCCTATTTCACATGGTTATTGGGAGGATAACCTTCATTATTCTCAAAGCTCCCTTGAGAAAAAATGTACGACACAATTTAGCAACATTAATCATCTCACAGATACACGATTATAGGGAAATTTTCCCATAGTAGTATATTGTTCTGAACGGGCCACTTACAATTGTCCTTGTAAAATTAGGTTCTGGAAAAAGCGTTCTCTGGAGCGTAATCTTCATAAGCCCATAAAACAGGGATCTGATTAAATATATTCTGAAAGCATTTATGAAAATAATTTCAGTAAAAAATAAGTAAATAAAATAAGCTGTTCTAAAGAAAACATGGACAGCAAAACGAACAGTATTTAATGGGGGAGCTTCTGCAAGGTTTATATTCTTGTATTTCATCATTTATAAGTCAAAACCAGAGAGGTTGGTGGAGGGTGTAGAACGGGTAGTCAACCTTGGCTCTTTTATGACTCGTGGACTTCAACTCCCAGTATTCCTGAGCCAGCATGGCTCAGCTTGGAAACTCTCTCTTTCCCCTCAGCATGGCTGGCTCAGGAATTCTGGGAGTTGAAGTCCACCAGTCATAAAAAGGCCAAGTTTGAAGACCCCTGCTGTAGATGCTTCATCTTTTGTTGTCCTAGTGTTCATGGCAGGAAGGGAAAGAGCATTCTTTACTCAAAACAGTGCCAAGCATAGCTTTGTAAAACACTTGTGTCTTTTAACTCCTGAATCACCCATGCTTTGGGTATTGAGGTAGAGTGGGAAACTGTTCGCATGGCTTACTATGCTTGTTTTTAAGATACAGTATATCTTCCTGTTCTCTTTAACAACCCTCACAACAATAGAGTTTCACATAAAGGAATACTATGAAAACCAAAGGTTTGCATTCATATCGTAATAGCTTACGTTTCTGTAACATGTTGTTACTTCATAACAAACTTCATTTTGAAGTGCATTAAGATTTCATGGGATAGCCATGTGTGTTGACAATGTACACATACATTTAAAGTATGACAGCAAAGAAGCTTGAGTATCTGCTATTTTGCACACTGTGTGTATATATATATACTGTATATGCGCTTCCAAAGTGCCAATATATTTCTAGGATAATGTTGCCTTAGAAAGGAATATAAATGTTAATTTTGAACATTTCACATAATGGTAAAAATGTACCAGTGAACAACTTCCTGACCAATTTTGTGTGTTTTGAAGTTGTTTGTGAAGAGGGGGAAGTGGGCTTTGCATTCATTTCAAAGGAATGGATATTTTTTTACTCTGCTCTTAAGTGCCATCCAACTAACTGTTTGTGAAATAAAAGATTTATAATCATGTATTTTTATTTGTGGTCATAACTGTGGTCATGTGACTGGAAGAAGGATGATTGTTGGAACTTCAAATCCAGGTCATAAGTACCCCACGGGTAGGTCCATCAGAACTTTTAACGGTCACTAAGCAGTCAGTTGTAAGTTGAGGACTATCTGTATAGTATTGCCCCAGGCCTGGTTCTACCACAAGGAAGCAAAATATATTCTGGAGCTCATAGAACAGAGGCAGAGCTGAATTAAAATTAAATCATGATTTAAAATGTAAATTTAATCGTGAATTAAATCACAGCCGGAGCTAAATTAACAGATTAAACGGAAACCTAGGCCTGCACAAGAAAAAAAAAAAGCGAAATCCATTGAGCATTTAAAGCAACAGAAATTTTTCACTCTTCACATCGTAAAAGGCACTCGAGATACACCAAAGCCTGAACACAAAAAGCAGAATTAATCAACCCAGATCAACGTAGAGGCTTTGCATTTTAAAATGCATCCTGAAACTCACTATCAGCAAAATACAAAGGAATGTAAAATGTGTTTTTTTTTAAATAGTTTTATTTTCAAGTTCAGAGCCCAGAACAAAACTTAAAACGGGTATGGCTTCAAGGTCGGAATACTCTGCAAAATACTTTGCACATCCCTAATTCAATGAATAAAACGAATTAGTACTATTATAGGGCTTCACATTCCATTTACCACTAATACCTTGATACTTGATTTTAAGGGACAGACATCTTTATGACATTCTCTGTTGTTGAGACAATCTAATCTTCAGTTGTCTCAAGTTATGTGTCATTTTTCCTTTCCCAATATAAATCTTAAATTCAGAGATTCTGTAGTGCCTCATTAATGATACCAACAATACCAACAGTCAGGAGCCAACATCTGCCCTGCTCCTTTTGGCCAATGAAGTCTGCTATGGGGACACCATCTTCCCATCCAGTTGGCCTCCGTGTCTGTTTTTTGGACTGCAAGAGATCAGATATCTGGCTTGTGTAGCATAGACACCTCAGATGGAATTCTGAGCGGCTTCATATTCTCTTTTACTTTTCACGCAAAACGATATACTTAAGCTGGGCCTCAGTTTGAAGACAATAGCTGTACAACAATTGCAATTCCATAATTATTACTAAATATGAATCAGAAAGGTATTTAAAGAACTGTATAACCATATGTTACAAGAACTAAGTGTTTATTATAAAAGTACAATGCTGCGTTAAATAAGGATAGCCTCTTGCTAAGTATACTTCTTCAGAAATTTCAATTTCAGATATGCAATTGTGAGAAAAATCATTGTCATACATAAAAGCGCAACGTGATTCTGCCACAAGTCCCAAGCAGTTGTGCCAATGCCTTGCATTTTCAAATAGTCTTCTCCAGTGCATCTACAAACATGGGTTTTAAAAAAATTGTATTAGAACAATGCAATTCTTAATTTACCTTTTTATTTATTTACTAGCTGTACCTGACCACGCGTTGCTGTGGCTCAGTCTGGTAAAAGCGTGTGTTGCTTTTACGTCCAACAGATGGCGCTGTTTTTCAAAAAAAGCATGTTTTTACCTGTCACAGGTGTGACATCTATATAATATAGGTATATAAAAACACACGCGTATTCAAATGCAACATTGTTTCAAAATTTCAAAACAATCGGTGAAGAACTTTCGGAGATTTAAGATTTTGAACAAACGAACATTTACATTTTATTTATATAGAAGATTGCTGTAAATTCATACAGATAGTTTTCTGCTTATGACCATAATACAGCCAGCCCATAATTTTAGAACCTTTTTCATGACAATCATTAAGCAAACACAGCACTCATAAGGTGAAGGCCACATCCGTTAAGAGAACAATCGTTAAGCAATCTCATTGTTCCCTATGGCAGGTTTTGGCTGAAAACCTGAAACGAATAGCAAGTTTTTGGCAAAAACATCATATTTTTAAATTTTAAGTTTTGGTGAATAGCAATGAAACATGATAAGAATGCTTCCCAGGTTGTTTTCATGTGTGCTTGCTTTGCTGTTCTGGAAGCCCCAGCAGAAGTGTGGTGCATATACACCTTCAGATTCAACTGTCAAAAACATCAGCCTCCACAAGGATGCGGCAACCTTAAGGAACAGTGCTTTTGCTACAATATGCTTTGCAAGCCACCCTTCCAAATGTTAAGTTGAAAAAAGTTCCATATCTTTTTAACTAGTGCAGCCCTGAATATTAAAAAAAAGAAGAAGTAATAATTAAAGAAACTTGGGCACTGTTGTTTGTTGTATTTTTCTAGATGGTGCAACAATTTGCCAGGTGGCAGATGCTTACACTGTAAATGCAGTAGTAGAAACACATGTTGCGTTGACCCCTTCAGGAGTTTCATTGCAAAATCTGAGTCCAGTAAATTCATTGATTTGCAAAGCCTTTGAAAAACAGACAGATAACGGAATTACTTGCTTATATTATCTGAAAGGTTTCCCGCGCAGTTGGACCTAAAAGGCAACAAAATGACAGAAATTAGAGTGCTTTGCTAAAATTAAAGCAACATCAGAATTTTTTAATTCTTAATAGGTAGGGATATGTTGATGTCCTGTTAAATTGTTGCTCTTAATTAAATTATTGTGCTCTCCCGTGTAGTATCCAGCTCAAATTTATAAGTTGACAACGATTTTTGGATGAGCTGTAGAAGTCACATATAGAGAATAAGATGAGGACTCACTTCAATAGATTCTGGCTCCCCTTCACGTTTCTAAGGGAATCTATGGAGACACAGGATTTCCTGCAGGCAGTATAGGTAGTCCTCGACTTACGATCCTAAACTTTTTGTTGCTAAGTAAGACATTTGTTTTCAAGTGAGTTTTGCCCTACTTTATGACCTTTCTTGGCACAGTTGTAAGCGAATCACTGCAGATAAGTTAGTAACATGGTTATTAAGTGAATCTGGCTTCCCCATTGACTTGCTTGTCAGAAGATCACAAAAGTTGATCACGTCATCCTGGGATGTTGCAGCCGTCATAAATATGAACCAGTTGCCAAGTGCCTGAATTTTGAACACATGACCATGGGGATGCTGCAACGGTCGTAAGTGTGAAAAATGGTCTTGTCATTTTTTTCTCAGTGCTGTTGTAACT